TCTATGTCTTCACTTCCTTCTGTGTGGTCTGATACCACTAAAAATTAGCAAGTGGAATACCCAATGTATCATATTTGATACAAAATTTATTTCCGAAATTTGAATTGCGAAAAAAAAATATTTGACATCAGATTTCGAACAAGGGACCCAAAATGAATCATATGTCACAAGGTGTTAATTTTAGGAACCGTGGAACTATGTGTGGGCATTAGAGGGTTAAAAATGTTGAGTGCAGAGCAGAAAGATTACCTGGGGGGTGGCAACCACCCCCCCCCCATGTGCGGGCGAGGGTTAAAGGTAGTGTGCCAGCTTTCCTGCACCGTATGGAGTTAATGGCCCAGATAAGGAGAACCGGATTTTTAGAACTTATCCATACCTTCAAAACTCATGGAAACGTCTTAAATTCTTCAAATTTTGAGTACCCCAGTGCGAAATTCGCCCCGACGGGTTGTCGGTCGTACCCCAACCACATTTCACACCACTATGAACAATAAATGCACACACTGAAATCGCGATTACGGATAGGCTCATCCAATCAAGTTTCGATAAACCCGTTCATCATCGTCTCCTGCGGTTTCGAACACGCCTGTTAGGTGGTGCGGTAGACCGCGCCCAAAGCCAGGGCCCCGGTAACGTGAGGTAGCCGAGTCGGGGCAGCGTGCGCTGACCCAAGCCAGGGCCGCGCGTCCTCCCGGTGTCATGTGATAGCCCGGGGCTGCCCGGGGATGCGGTAGACCGCGCCCAAAGCCGCGGCCCCGGCTTGGGTCAGCGCACGCTGCCCCGACTCGGCTACCTCACGTTACCGGGGCCCTGGCTTTGGGCGCGGTCTGCCGCAGGTGGCTTCTGCTCATACTTTGTGGTGCGGTGGTGGTGCGTCGGGCCGCGCGCTCTGACTTCGGCCAAGAAAAATGCGTCAGCTGATCATTGTCATTTCTGCCACTTTCATGTGGTGAGATGGGGTCATAACTTTAGAGACGGCTGTTTCATATCAATTATTTTACATAAAATAATATTTCAAACCATAAATTAATGTTCGACAGCCAAATTAAAGAAACAATACCAATACAGGATTACAGTTTAAATTCGACATTGTGTTGTCTACGATTAGACAGCTGATAACTCATTCCCGTACGTCGTAACTCTATAATGACCTTTGCTTATTGTCACATGTGCGCCGCATTCGCGATTGTTGCCGACGCCTGTTTGCAGGTCAGCCCACTACAGTTGTTATACATATCGAAAACCGATAAAGTTTTAGGCGAAAAAAGCACTATTTTGCATGGGCCCATTTTTGATTTTTTTGCGATATTAGGTAAAAACAGAAGCTTCTTATCATAGGAAAAATAAAATGGGAAATCATTGGAAGGTGGCACACTACCTTTAAAGGTGATCTCTGAGGGCACTACGCCGGTTTTTAAGTGCACTCAGCTCCTATTTTGGATTTCACACCGGCCTCTGAGATCGGATAGCTCATGCATTCCGCAGCGGAGCCCTTGCCGGCTCCTGAGGGCTCCGTGCTGATAGCTGAGGGCCCCATGCCAATACTCGAGAGCCCCATTCAATAATCTCAGCGCCCTACACCAGTTTGAGGAACGCCGTTCGGCCAAGGCCGACCTCCGAGGAAGAGCCCTATGCAAGCCTCTGAGTGCCCTCACTTCCTTTTTTAGGATCTCACACCACCCTCTGAAGTCGCAGGTCTAAAGAAAGCTTCTGATGACCCTCACTAGCTCGGACCCAAATCGATGCACGAGGACCCGACAAAAGTGCCCAGGTAGCCCACACAGTAATCGCAGGCCCCCCCCAGTTTCTGAGGGCCTACACGAGCCCTTTTTGGCGGCCAAGGTCGATGTCTTGGGGCCCTATTCAGGCATCGAGGCTGCTCGGGCGTCAGGAGACGATGGGGGGGGGGGGCCTCCAGCTGAAAAGGGCTCTCTGAGGCCGGCATGAGCCCTGGAAGGCCACTGTGAGCCTTTAGGGCCTGCTTGGGGTCCTTAGATGTATGTCTGCGTGGGAGGCATCTGAGACCGGGATGGTGTCCTGAGGAGTCTGAGTGCCCCCACTCAGAACCCTCACAGGTCTAAGTGGGCCCTCTGAAGGCCGATGTTTGTTTGGGGCAATCAGATGACGACATGGAATCATGGAATCTCTTATACGGCCTTGCATGGAATGGAGCCCTCAGGCTACCCTTGAAACCCCATAAAGCCATTTTGAATGCTGGGAGACGACTACGTATCCGCTTGGTCGGCTATTGGGACTGATAGCACGGCGGTAAAGGTAGCAAGGCGATTTGGAATACGGGTCATTGAAAGTGATCCGGTGAGCACTGAGCTGAATATGGACGGCAGGACGCCCCCGCTTGCTCTGTGCACAACTGCGCGCCATACGTGAAAAGATTGGAGTAGATATGTATAGTTAATAAAAATTCGCTGTTCTGCGCGCCACGGTTTTCCCTGCAATAACTAGAAATCTCCAGACCTGTAAATCAAGTCTCGGAAAATAGGAAAAGCTGAACTCAAACCACTCACTGGGAAGTGGGAATCGGGCGTCAAATTCAGACAGCTGCGTATCCTTGTTTTACATGCGTATTTCTGCAGTCGTAGGTACCCAAAAGATTAGTAACCACTAGTCAAGTAGGAGAAATTATAGTCTGGCAAATCTAAGAAAGAACGGAGTTAAAGCTCCTGAATCCTTTTGCCACGTGTTTTGATCACTGGACGTGTATGGTTAGAAGAAAATATGTGTAAAAAGTCGTGAGAGAAATAATATTTTTCGACGACGAGTTCCTAGTTTAATTCTCACGTTTTTCATCCAGTTTTTCCCATGTGAACCCCCGTCTTTGCTGTTTATTTCGTTCTTTCATATTGGGTAAATTCCTTTCCTCCGAACACGCCCATCATTAACAATAGACCCACCGTGCTGTGCATTTTAACTTTACCTTGCCCTTTTGTTTTTTTTCCTGTACTGGAATCATACCATGGCTTGATGATTATTCGTTGGGTTTCGTCGAAAGGATGCTTTAGGCTCACATGTTTTGATAGCGAGTGAGAGTTTGCTGTGCACCAAATGAAAATGTCAATAAATGGTTTGTTCTATTCGTATATAACAGTTTCGAAAGAGGCAGAGTAATGAAGGTTTCCGCGGGGGTGTAATGGGGAGTTACGTGGGGGAGTAATGGGGAGTTCACACGAGAGTTCCGTGGGAGAGTTATGAGGAGTTCACGCGAGAATTCCGTAGGAGAGCTATGGGGATATAACGGGAGTTACGTGGGGGGGGGGGGGGAGTAATGGGGAGTAATGAAGAGTTCTAGGGAGAGTAGTAGAGGGGAGTAGTGATGGGTCGAGAGATTTATGAAGAGTAATGGACGAGAATATTGAAGAGTTCCAGTAAGAGTTATGAGGGAGAGTAAAGGAAAGTAGCTCCCTGGTGTTTTAACCCGCGCCGTGCTGGGGGGGGGGGCGTTTTTACGCCCCCCCCCTCAGGTTTTTCGCGAATATCTCAAAAACGGCGGCGCGCAGCGCCGCCGTTTTTGGTACACGTGTTCCTACATCATTTCCGCACATGTTGTGAAAATTTCAGACCTAGGCCGTTCAAGGTCAGGTCACCAGGTCACGTCAAGTGACCTTACCTCAGAAAAAGTTCAAAGGCTCGCTATAGCTACACCGACTGAACGATCACTTTGAAACTTTCAGCGATTGATATGAGTAACAGTATGTATAAAATGTATATCTCGGATTTTTGATATCTGTGACCTAAGGTCAGGTCAATTTTGCGACCTCTCCATTAAAAGTCAATGGGAGAAAATTGAAATGCGCCTCTTTTGGACGAATATCGTTCAAAACGCTCTCAAACATCGGTTCATAGGTAAACATGACACACTGAATAGGAAAAATGCACCTGTGACCCCTCTGTGTGCCCCTGAGGTCATCTCAGGTCATGAACGGTCGCCAGCAGTTTTTTGGCTATAACTTTTGATAGAGACGTGCTAGAGCGGTGAAAACACGTCAGATGTGTTCAGCTCGACGATACGGATCGACTGATATGCAACATGACCCTTTTCGGTCAGGTCATGACCTTGACCTGAGGTCAAATTTTCAAAATGACCTTTCAAGGTCAACAAATAGTTCATTCGACGCGTCTCGACGAGAGGAACACGATGCTGGCAAAAGTAATGTCATGGCGCTTATGAGTCAAAAGTTATTGACGAAAAAACGTTTTTCGTAAAAACGGCTATTTTTGGAGTTTTTGCCCTCTGGAGGCTAAACCGTTGACCTGAGGTCAAATCTGAGAACATTACTCAGAAAGGTCTGTAAAAGGGCTATCGAATGCGCTTTTCCGCGGCGCTGTAGCTCTATCGGTTCCCGAGATAGCCGTTGGCAGTTTCCAAAATGTTGAAATAGTCAACATTTTACCTTTGGTGACCTCTGGTGACCTGACCTTTGACCTGACCCAAAAAATGACCGAAGTGTTTTCGTCCTTATTTTTGACGTTCTTTCGATTGCCGCTTACCGCGTGTCGCTACGTGGCCCAGGAGCCGAGTTAGACGGGGGGGGCGTGAAAACGCCCCCCCCAGCACTCGGCGGAAAGTTCAGGCCACCAGCACGGCGCGGGTTAAGGAGTCATTTTTGGTAACTCTCGATAACTCTCCCAAAGGGAGTAAATATTTCTCTCAGTGTACTGGTGGTCTGAGTTATCGGTGGTGTGCTCGAAGGCGGGGGGCATTGAAGAAAATGATTGGTTCATTTCTTGGGCGAGGTCAAAGATGAGGTCGCCAAAGGTCATCTAAAGTCAATTTTTGCCCATTACAGCTTTTGAAACACGGGCGCGTAGCTCGGGAACCAGTAAAGCTACAGCGTCGCGGAAAAGCGTGCTTGTTGGAGCTTTAAGCAACCATTTGAACATTTACGAACTAGTTTGGTGCCCTCGTTACATGTTACGGAGCTGTCAGTGGTGGTCCCTGTCAAATCATTACAACAATATATTGCAGCATTTTTGCAACTTACCATGCACTATCAGACTTAATGACCTTCGCCGTCATCGTGTCATTTTTAGAAAATGGGTGTTTTCCCTCGGAGAGAACGTAGTAGAAGACCAGGCCGAGGGAAAACACGTCTGCTGCCCCAACCTGAAATCAGAAATTATTTCAATTTACGGCTTTGGCGCAATTTTTAGCATAGGTAAAAAATTGTTCACCCCTTCCAGTGGCGTATCCAGGGGGAGGCCAAGAGGCCATGGCCTCCCCCTTTGGCATCAAACATGCAAGTGGGCCCTTTGGGTCACTTGAGCGCAGTGACGTACCCAAGGGGGCCCCATGGCCCCCAAGGGCGCCCCATGGCCCCCAAGGGCGCCCCTCAGGGCCCCTGGTTACTTGAGGGTCCCCCTGATCACCTGAGCGGTCCCTGGTTACCTGAGGGGCCCCTGGTTACCTGAGTGGTCCCTGGTTATCTGAGGGGCCCATGGTTATCTGAGGGGCCCCTGGTTATCCGAGGGGGCCCTGGTTACCTGATTGGTCCCTAGCTATCTGAAGGACTCCTGGTTACCTGAGGGGCCCCTGGCTACGGGGGCCCTGGTTACCAGAGGGGCCCTGGCTATCTGAGGGGCCATGGTTACCTGAGGGGCCCCTGGTTTCCTGGGGGGCCGCTGCTTACCTGAGGGGCCCCTGATTACCTAAGGGACCCGTGATTGCCTGAGAGCCCCTGATTATCTGAGAGGCCCCTGGTTACCAGTGGGACCTCTTGGTATATACCTGAGGCGCACCTAGTTATCAAAGGGGCCCCTAGCTACCTGAGGGGCCCCAGATCCCCTGGGTGACCCCTGGCCAGTGATCTGAAGAAACCCTGGTCACCTGAAGGGCCCATGTTTACCCGGGGAGTACCTGGTATTATGAAGGGCCCCTGCAGTCACATAAAGCATTTTTATATATGTGCGACTGATTATATGCGACTGTTTATATGTGCGACTGACACAGCTTAAAATGGACAGGATGGCTGAAGACATCAGTCAGGTGAGGCAGCTGGTTCAGTCATTGCAGCAGCAGAACGGCTGTCAACCTGAACGCTCTTCAGCGTGTCATGCCCAGTACCCAGCAGAGGCTGACACACAGCAGCTACTGACAGCTGAGGACTTATCTCGCCAACACTGGACGACCGCTGGAGAACGGCACGCCGGTCGCCAGCCCGCTAATGCAGGGACTTCTCTGCTGGTGATCGGCGACTTCAACGTGAGGCGCCTCGAGGGAATGAGTGAACGCGGCCCCAGTAAACCCGCTTTTCACTCCATCTCAGGTGCCACTACCGAGCACGTGAGACAGGACATCAGCCAGGCCATACGCAAATGTGGTGCTAAACGGGTTGTTATACATGATGTGACTAATGACGTAACTCGCAAAGGATCCGAACTGGTCGCAAAGGATATATTCAGTTTAGCTGACCAAACTAAGCGTAGGGATGGTGTAAGCGATGTGTTTATATGTAGTATAATCCCAAGAAAGGACAACGGATCCTTCATCTACAGCAGATCTGAGAGCGTCAACAACAGGCTGCGCACTCTCTGCTCACAGAGTCCTGACATCAAATTTATTGACTTGCGGCAGGCTCTGCACAGCTGTAGATTCAGCGGATTAGCGAGAGACGCAGTTCACTACAATAGGGAGGGTGCCACGCAGACCCTCAGATCGATCTTACAGTTGACAGGCAGGGTTGTATACGACTCAATCAATAGCAATCAATTCAATCACGACAAATTTGGGAAACCAATCAAATCAATCAAGTCAGAGCAGTTTTCGGGAATTGATTCAATCGACTCAAACGCGACAATGAAAGGAATCAATCAACTCAATCAAACGACTCAAACCAAGACATACATTAGGTTTTTTGCCCCACCAACTTGGAAAAGTGTCCATAGCAGTCTGGTGTACCTACCTACCTACCTACCTACCTACCTACCTACCTACAGAAGAAACATAAAAATATTGTCATTTAAAATTATAAATTGCCATGCCATTCAAACTTTCTATGTAGGTAATAAGGAAGGATATCTATGTAGTGATGGACAGGTGGATCATGATATTGAGGTTCAATGGGTAGAATTGGAGCAGAAGTGTCATTTATTGGGTGCAAAATGACCCAGTAGTTGACTCGCCCCTTAATCCAAATCACCACCTTTCCCCTTAAAGTTGTCAATTTAATTTTGGCCATATTCCAACTCCATTTACACTAAATATCCGAAGGTTGGGACTTTTCAATTAGACAATCACTATTCTTTAGAATTGTGATTTTCTATTTATCAGATATTGCAGTTGAAAGTTGGCTGCTCGGATTTTGGCAGTGTTCGTGATTTGGCCATTTACCCTACACTATGTCTATTTTCATGGATAATATGCATCAAAAACATATTAACCATAGGGAAATAGAAATAAATATCTTACCTGCATCATGCATGTGACGGTTTCGGTTAGACAGAGACTGACGGGCAGCCTGAAAAATCATTCCACACAATGTGCATTTGAGACATGGGATGTTGTCAGATTGGGAAGGAAGAGATTTGAAGTATTTAGCGGTCAACGATTCTGGACGTGGCATGTCAATGTTAGGTACCTATGTGAAGAATTCAAAACATTTTATTGCAATGCAATTTGAGACTGTTAGGACTGGGGGATAGGGATGAGGATTAAGGAAATGGAGAGGACAGGGACTCTGGGAAAACGGAACGGCGCGACTGCAAAACAACGAAAACGTTTGGTTTTGCCAATAAGTATGCTAAGCTTTTATAAATCCTTATTCTACTTCTTTTGACTTTGCGGTAAGATGACGTCATTGATTATCATGTAGTATGGTAGATCATCATAAAATAAATCGGTTGTACAGCAACAATTTCGTTTTAATTTTTATTTCATTTCACTTAATAATATTCGGTAAAATATTTTAAGGAAAATGAAATATATTAAATATGTTATGCTTAGGCTCTCAGGAGAAAAAGATCAACAAACGTTCTGCTGCAAATTAACCCTAGAACGCCTAGGGGGGGGGGGGTTGTATCAACCCCCCCTGAGGTTTTTTCGAAGTGCACGCTAAACGGCTTGTCGTAGCGGGCTGAAATTTTCAATACCCTCTGGGGCAATCTTTGCGCATCTTTTGCCGAAAAAAATTGATCGGGTCATGTCAGGTCACGGAGTTATGACGTCATAAGAGGTACAGCCTCCGGCCGACAGTTACCAAACGTGTGCGCCGAATCCCTAGGTTTTCTGCCGGTGATACCCACATTGTTTGATGGATCATGATGAAACTTCCCATGCATGTTGGGGCAAGCATTGGCTATCGTGTGGTGCAAGAAAATTGACCGGGTCAGGTCAGGTCACGGAGCTATGACGTCACAAGAGGAACAGCGTCCGGTACTATTTTTGAAAAGCGCCCGAACCACTATTTTGCTAATTCTTGTCACCTCAATGGGAATATGCAGCAATATTAACTTCTATAGGGAGCAAATGGACCTCCCAAATCCAAAAATATAATCAGATTTCACAAATTTAAATTTTGATTTTTCGAATTTCTGTCGCCGACTGTGACCTTGCCGACTTCCGGCGCTCCCAACGCGCCATTTTTAGAGCTAGGGAAACGAAATACATACCAAACGATAGAGAATTGATCAAGGAACACGATAGTGAAGGTTTCAAGTCGATATCTCCCACCGTTTTGCCGCAATCGCCGCGGAAAGTTGAAAAAATCTATTTTTCCGAAAATTTGACCTTTGACCGGTCAAAAGTAGGTCAAATGTTGACCTAGGACCAAAAAATATACCACCAATCGCGAGATCTCGTTGAGAGCAATCCGTTGGTTTTTTCCGCTAAGCTCTACGACCTTCCGTTTCGAAACGCCAGGGGGGGTCGTAACAACCCCCCCCCCCCTGGTCGTTCGTGTTATGAGAAATGGCCTGGTCGTGCGAGGGTTAAACAATGCAGCAAAGTAGCTATCAATTGTACGTAAACGTAATCAGCGAGACGAAAACGGCGCTTTTGTTTCAGTTATTTTTGTAGGGGTTTCAGATATTTATAGAGTTCAGTGGGTTGTTTCTGAGGAGATGTGGAGATGTGAATCATTAATTAATCACACTTTATTAGTATATAGGGCCTTGCACTTTATCATCTGGATTTAAAAAAAAAACGTTTCCTGCTGAGTGCAGAAAGGAAGGTAGGTGCATCGCCAGGGTCTATCACCACAGTGTCGGGGCAGACTGCGGCAGGGCAGACTGCGGCGACCCCTAGGAAGAACAACTAGGGAGAACAACATTCGACAGATGGCAGCACTAGACGAGATAATCAGGCAATACTTTAATATTAATGGGAAAGAAATCATGCCAATGTTTGCCCTCACCAAGCATGTTACCACGACAATGGAAGAATGTAGTGTAGTACCCCTCCCCGGGCCCGCCGCGGGCGGCAGCGGCGGCCGGAGCCAGTCCGACCTTTGGCCGGCCGGGTCAGGTAACCGGGACGGCCGCGCCGCGGCGCCGCGCCCGGGCCGGCCGGGAGACGGAGTCGGGTGCCCGCCGGCGAGCCGTCGGCAAGGGCGCGGGGCACATTAGTCGAGTTGAATGTTCACTGTTCAGTCTTGAGTGCGAGTGATGGATGTGTGAATCGATATGTGAGAAGCAAAATCCAACAAGAAAACAAATCCGTGAAAGAAAGGCAACGCTGGCAAACATCACCACCATAGTCTTCCTACGCCGAACGAGTTCCACACCAACGTGCATCAGCGAGAGTAAAACTAGGATCCTAACAGACCCACCCACCGCCCCACCGTCACCCCATTCCTTACCAAGTCTCCTTCCCCTCCGCTCGGGGCGTCTTTCAGCTACGCAAGAAGGAATCGGCAGACGCAGACACCTGGGCGAGCGAGGAGGGGAAGTCGAGACCGTGTTTCCGCCAAAAGAGAAAACAACCAAGGTAGGTGGTAGGTAACTACACCTGCGCTATCTACATCAGCTGCCCCGCATGCCGTGCATGGCTGCAGGTGAGGCTATCGCGGACAGCCGTGCATGTCGGTATGTGAGGCTATCGCGGACAGCCGTGCATGTCTGCAGGTGAGGCTATCGCGGACAGCCGTGCCTTTTTGTAGGTGAGGCTATCGC